AAAAGAAAACAGCACAAAGCAAGATACTGCACCTAGCCTCAGTATTTGGTTTAAGGTTCATTCTCAGGGCATTTTACATAGTTTAAATAAAAGAAATGAAAGAAATTTAAGGCAAAATTAGACACCATCCATTTAAAGAACAATTCTTATAGAACAACCTTTCAACCATCACATCAAGTCAGGTGTATTATTCATATAAATCTTCTTCAAAAGAATGAATTTGTGGAGATTTAAATAGTATCAAGATAGTATATATACATTTGGTGTAAAAGTCTGTGAACTTTCTGAGGCAGAGACATTATTTTCACTGAAATTAAAATAAAGGAAGTAGAAAAATATGGCTTGCTTTAAAGTCAGTTGCTCTCCCTATTTGGCATTTAAAGCTTTGTCAACCCAAAGATCACCAATCTTTGGGGGGGGGGGTTTGCTTCTTTATATGGTTTCCTCCTTCACTTAAAATCCAGTTCAATAATTTGCCATTAGATGGAAGAGGCTTTGTGTGAATGCCACCCTAAAAACATCATCCTAAGATGAAACATAGTGGTGTGTAGATGCTTTTCTTTAGAGAAGCTATAGACAGATTTACAGGAATATAAATTAAGATAAACACAAGGTAATCTTGGAAGGAGGAGGCAAGCACTGCTTATACCTGGGCCTAGGATGTTCAGTAGGTGGGAAAGGGAAGGCAAACACCCAACCTGACAAGTAGACAGAAACAACTTCATATTCACACAATCCCACCCTTACAGCCATACGGAATTATAGCATGGTTCTTACATTTCTAAAGAATATATGCAATTATACGCAACATCAAGCTGCTTGGTGATGGTCTGATAGCCTTTAAATTTAACAAGGCCTGATTATAATTTTCTTTCTAATATCCCGAGACAACTCTTCCCTTTGCTTACTGTGGTCCATGCTGAGTGTAGTGCACACCATGTCACCTAACAGAACAGTGATACCTGTAGCCCTATATATATATTGGCAAACTTGAGTTGCTAAATAGTGGGCACAACATGTCCCTTTGGTCACATTATTTTTCAGTCTTTTGCCCAGCTATGTTTTTTAATAAGTTTACTTTTTTTAATCATTCTGTTGAAGCATGGTTGAAAACGGTGTTGATTTCCCACTGAACACTAGGGAGGATAAACTTCCCCTGTAAATTTTGTAAAATAATTGGTCAAATATACATTGTTAAACCTCATAAATGTAGTCACTGAATAGGAGGAGGGAAGGGAGGCCTCTGATTTGTCAATTCTATATCCGTTCTACACTACATGCAAAGAGAGAGGAAGTTTCCTCATCATGTGAGAGAGGACAGTCGTCTTGTGCTGAACTCTTGCTGTGGTTTTTGGAGATTATTTCAGAGCACGTCTAAAAAACTATTTTCACACGTTGTAGTGACGTGTTTTATGTGTTTCAACATTTGTCAATGTAGTACTTTATGTTCTGATTTAATAAACATCATTGAGCCCCCCTTATCTCAGAGACCAGCAGCCGCCAATAGTTGAAAAAGAAATTTTTTGTTTAAAATGTGTTTATTTTCATAGAATTGTACAAATTACTTTTGTCAAATTCGAGTTATTACTGTGACTATTGTTGGTTTTCTTTCATAAAAAAAAAAAAAAAAAAAAAAACAGGTACCAAGAATTTTGTCGTTGCTTGTATGTACCTTCTTTTGTCGGCCTTAAATATAATGCCATAGCTCACAGATTAAGCCCAGTTGGGTAGGCAGCCTGGTTCGTCTTGCACTGTACCCGACTATGTTGAAAGTACAGCTTAAGTCCAAGATGCTTTGCTTATACAACAGAGACAACAAGCCTGAACCTTGTTATATCTGGTCACTTCTAGAACGTTGCACTATATTGCATCGATAGAAGTAAGCATTTTGTTTGCCTACTGGTTTAAACAGAATCAGTTATGCCTTTGTTAAAACCACAACCCTATTTTGAAATTCAAGCTTCACAAAACCTGGATGAAGCAGATTTCAGATTATGTTGTAAATGCAATGCAATTTTATGATTGATGTGCTAATTGGAGCATTATTCTATTATATGTATACAATTTTAAATCTAATTTCATAGGTGCACTATGTGGGAACACACGATTCAAAAGAAACTTTGAATTTAGTTCATTTGAATTTAGTTTGATAGGAAATACATTTTAAACTATAGGAACTGTGCTCCTTTTTGTAAAAGGTAAATTTATGAAACACCTTGTTGGACTCACTGTGACCTCTGGACAGACAGCAGCAGCTCATTAAAGTGACTGAGAGGGAGTCAAACTGGAAGTGTTGGTATTTATTGTTCAATGGCACGTCCTTCTCAACTTAATTACGACTTCTTTTGACTCTACACATCGTGCCGCAGTAATTCATATGAGGGGAGGAGGACGGCTGCAGCTCAGTCTGTATTTAGCATTGTTTACTTGACTGGAGGTCACATCTGAACAATGAAGAAGAAGGAAATGGCTCCAGCAACACCTGCCACCGAGCTCCTGAGGCCATGTTGACAGTTGTTAGCTCAGATTTGTGTACAGGGAGCCATAGAGCGAGAGCAATCATTGTCACATACTGTAGATAAAAAGTCCTGCCATTCTGTCTTAACTTGATTAAACCCATCCTTCCCCAGGGAATTAATCATTCAAGCAAATATTTCCTGGAAAAGGTACTTGCATTTTAACTAAGATGTCTATTGGGAAATAACACATCATAAACACGGAATTTAGAAAAATGAGTCCAATAAAGATGGGCTGTTTGTTACATTACCATAAAAAGTTAATCTCACATGTTTTACGTTTTTAATATGTGAGCAAGTGGAAAGCAACAGTGTAAGAAAAAAAAACACAAATTAACATCTGAAGCAAAACACATATTGAAAAAAGAAATCTGAGGTAAATATTGCCAGCTGCTGGTTAAATTGAGAAACTACACCACACCTCCTTTACTAAGCTCATGGTCAGGGAAAGGACTGAGCTGATGTTTTAGGCATCTGCAGTAGATGTTTAAAATTCACAAATTGCTAATTTAAAACTGGATGGCCAATGAATGAGGATTCAGCAAAGCTTTCTCAGTATCATAAACATCATGCACAGAGGAATTACATTTAACTTAAAACATTGGTTAGGCGATGTTTTACAGTCTTGAAACAGCATAAATGCTATAATTTCAAGATTTAAATATCAGAAAAAAACAGTTATGTCTAACATAAGATGTACTTTTTATGTAAATGATAAAGCATCATCGAAATGTATTCAAGTCTATTTGTTCAACTTGTCTCTGCCACAGCCATCCCTCCACACATACTGCAAGAAAGGCTGTATTACAGTCTTTTCTGTTTTAGGAAATCAAAGATATCTGGCACAAGTACAGTTTCCAGCTTTGTGCATCAGAATTGTTTTTTTTTACAGAAATAGCAGTACAGAAATGAACAGAAATTAGAAAGTATAAAAGATAGCTGCTTTTACGATAAGTAATGTTAAGAATTGATACGTTTCTAATGTGAAAACAAAAGATGTTGTGTAGTTTAGGTAAAGATGCAGCAAGTAAAAAGTATTTTCTGCTATGATCTGCTCTATGGTACATCCAAGATCATCTACAAGCTCAGTAAATCTCAGAAGCATATGTAGAGAGTAGGAAACGGGTTTGGTCATCTTTAAGTAAATAGAAATTCTGCTGAAGAACGTTTGTTCATGAAAGAAAACTCTGTACTTTACAAAAGTATTACAATATTCTACAATTAATAGGAAAAATATCTCTCAAAGTTTTGAAAGAAAGAAGTGGCTCACTTGTAATAAGGACTCTTAAATTAAAAATGTTAGTTTAGGCAGATGTGTACCGGTAGTTCTTTTTTGCATTAGATTGTATTCAAAGACACATAAAAAGAATCAAAACCAGAGTTATTAAATGAGTTGAAATTGAATTGTCCCCAAAGTTTATATCAGTTGTTGTTTGTTTACTCAGAGCACATTAATTGTCATATACAATTTAATTTTCCAAAGCTGCTTTCCCACTGAAAACCTGGGTGATTCAAAGCCGGGTTGACGCACTAACAATTTGGCTTTTTTTCCATTTGACCTAAAAGCCGAGTCTGACCCCCTGCTAGCAAGCTTTGTGGCCATTGCCACTGCATGTTTAATGACGGCATGACACTCGGTGACCGAGCGATGATGATGTCGACACTGCATTGGAAATCAGGGAAGTAAATAATGGAAAGCAACATGGACGGGAGCCAGGGCGTAGTCAGTATTCTTTATTATTTCGCTCTTTTTTCCGTCAGAGTCCCTCTTATCAGCTCTGCGCCAGAAGTGACTGGTGTGTTGACGTCCATACATTGCTTTCAATAGCATCACTTAATTTAGCGGGTCAACCAGGCTCTGGTTTTCCCACAGCATGCCGATAAGAGCCGAGGCGATTATAATGCGGGTCGTTTGACTCCTCTCCAGTTTCGCTACAAGCATGCTTACTGTGAGGGATTGCCTTTGAGTCAATTAGTCGAGGCAATCAACTGGTTTTCCTTAGATAGAAAACTTTGAATCAATTTGACTGTATGATTTGTTGAACTGTGAAGTGCCATTAGATGACATGTTGTGAATTGGCGCTATATAAATAACCTGAATTAAATTGAATTGAATACACTCACAGACCACTAGGGGTATGCGTACCCCAGGTTGGGAAATACTGATCTAGATCACCACCAAAATATAAAGGATTGTTCCTTGGACTGTGGTGAACCTTTGGTAAAAATTTCATTAAAATCTGTTCATACTTTTCAGGCTATCATGTACAAAGGCAGACAGACAGACAGACACACAAACAAAACACCTAAAAAGATAAACAGTGAACCTTTAGTCTCTCAGTATGGTTTAGATGTGTTAGTGGTTTCCAAACTGGTTTGTTATTAAAATGATACGTATTTATGAAGTTTGTTGCATTGACAAAATAGTTTGCATTTAAAAAGTGGTGAGTTACCCACATTTCTCTCCCTCTCCTCCAAACTCACCTGTAATACAGTACGGCTGCTTTCCTGTCCACTTCCCCTCCGCTAGACAGGTGCGCTCTGTCGACCTGTACAGTATATATCCTTCATTGCAGGTGAAGCCCAGGGTTTCCCCCTGCAGGTAATTTGTTCCATTCTTCTTGCCGTTCCTGGGTGTGGGAAGCCAGCCACATGATACCACTAAAGAGCAGCAGTATGTCAGAAAGTCAGGAACAAGAAGGGTATATTTAAAGAACTGATGCTCCCAATTTACAAAACAGGAATGACTGTGTTCACCTGACAAATGAAAGTTATCAAATATTCATGATTATAGATTCAATTCAATATCTGATTAAGATAAATCACGTCTCTGACCCATAAAGTTGACAGAAAGAAAATGTGTAAGTTTATCTCCAGTTTTTGCCTGTGAGCTAAAGGAAATCAAAGATAGACAGACAATGATCTTGTGACATGTGGTACCTGGCTCCAGGGCTTCCATTAAATCCTGATGATGTTGATGGGCCCGTAGTGTGGCGTTTCCCACCGCCAGGCTCTCAGGTATAAGGGTATCATGTATACAGAACTGCGCCCCTTCTCCCAAACACATCAACAACATGTCTGCTACCAAGGGGTCATCAGGTTTCAGAGGCAGAGGAAAGGCTGGAACAAAAGCAGTGTCGTGGCTCGATGGAAAAAAGTATGAATCCAAAAGGTACTGGGAGTCATAGGTGAAAAGGGAAGACATCTTTGATATGTTCCCTGGAGGAAGAGATTAACATCAGTGAAAATGTTTTGGAAAACAAGTTATGATTTTAGACTATGTCTGGCATTTAAGAAATACCATGCCTGTACAATATAGTTTTGGAAATGAGTAGGATGCAGCTTATAAATTAAAATCGAAATTCTGTAAATGCACTATAAAGACATAATACAATTTTTTTTTTTTAACTGACATGTTACAGTAACTTATACAGGGTTCGTTTTTTCAGTGGGTTGTTGTAGGTGTTGATAGCTGATGGCAGGAAGGATCTTTTATATTGGTATTGATTTGCACCAGATCTGGAGAAGCCTCTGACTGAAGACACTTTGTTGTTTAAAAATCGCCTGAACAAGATGCTTACAGCTGTCTAATCTTCTTCACTTTATGAAGAATTCTTCTGTGTGAAATCATATCAAGATATTCCAGAGGAGTTCCTACAAAAGAGCCGACCCACTTTATACGCTTATTGAATTTTTTTAAGTAGAGGTTTTAACTTGTTCTTGTTTCTTCTTATATCTACCATCATCTCCCTAGTTTTGTTGATATTCAGGACCAGATGATATTTTCCACATCATTTCACAAAGCAGTTCACCAGATATTCCTGCAGATGACAGGACTGGTACTAAAAGTCGGAGGTGTATAAAGTAAAAGGAATGGAGAGAGTACCGCCCCCTGTGGTGCTCCTGTGCTGCTGACTACTTGATTTGACAACTGATCCTTCAGTCTAACAGACTGCTCTGTTTGTCAGGTAGTCCTTGATCCAGCCGATTGATGACTCCTGAGTTTTCTGGAGTTTCTGACAAAGTAAGTCAGAATCACAGGAGAAATCAAAGAACAGAATCTGCACAATGCTATCTGCCTTGTCTAAATGACAGTGGATTTGTTAAAGCAGGTGTATGATGACATCTTGAATCCAATTCCACGCAATAAGCAAACTGCAGGAGGTCCTGATAGCTGGTTGTTTGAGGGGGTGAACCAACAGAATTCTCTAGGACCTTCGAGATGTCAGGGCAACAAGCCAGTAGTCACATAGGACTGTTGGCCAAGTCTTCTCTGGCACTGGAACAAGGCAGGATGTCTTCCACATCAATGAAACACACTAAGGTGTATAAGGTGCTGTAGAATCCCACAGAGCTGCTCTGCACAGGCTTTCGGGACTGTGGGGCTGACACCATGAGGAACTGGTGACTTATTATTCAGTCTCTCCAGTTTCCTCTTTACTTCACTTCTAGAGGCAAACAAGTGAAAGGTGGAGGGAGCAGCACCATCTTCTGATTTGGCCAAAAACAAGTTTATAGAAGCAGGAGAGTCGATGTCAATTTGACTGTTGTTAGCAAAGAAGGATGCTGAGCTTGTTCCTGAACTGAATCTGTTGAGGAATGTATTCAGTTCATTGCCTTAGTCCAATCTTCAATCTGTCTGATCATCCTTCTGCCTGAAGCCTGTGATCCTCTTCATCCCTCACCACACATCTCAGCCTTTTTCTGTATGCCTGCTGGCTATCTCTTTTCTGACCTTAAGTTGCTTCTGTAATAATAATAACTTGAATAAAGGATTACTGTGTTTAAATACACCATTGAGTAAGTAAAGGCAGTATAACTGAAACTAGTCACAATCTAAATGATTAATTACTTGCTCTTTTCATTTATTAGCAGGCCTAAAAAGATGAGTATTATTAGTATAATCTCACACTGAAAAAGGGCTGCAATTCTATGAGAGCCAGCTTTGGAGATTTGTTTACTTCCCTTACAATTGTTCTCACTACAAAACCTCTCTAGGTATACCTGATACAAAATTAAAGTTTATTTAACAGGACAGTTTTGTAAATCAAGACAGCAGTTGCTTAGATATGATGCCCTGAGCAACACCTCACTGAAAAACAAGAAAAAACTAACTTTATTTAACATGTGCTTATTGAATAAAGTTAGTTTATTCTATAAACTAACTTTAATCAATAGGCACATGTTAAAGCCAAGCAAAATGGCATAGAAAAAGTTTTGGATTTATCTTTTTTTTAAATCTTTTTTTCTTTTATTGCTTCTAGTTTCATTATTTTGAAAATGCAATTAAACCCTTAAGTGTCTTAACAGCTGGTAACTATGTTAATGTTAAGTTTCAATGTTACTGAGGAATATTTAACTTTGATGATTTGATGCCATAAGCTCAACTGTTCCTCATACTCACATCCAGCCCCAAATGTAAAGATTTCCTCTGGCGTGGAATTAGCTGAGGATACGACCTTTCCAGATTGGGTCATTAAGTCATCCGATGGATCAGAGTTCATCTGGCCAAGGAGACCCAGGGTGTGATTGGAAAACTCTACTGGGAGCAGCACGGTAGCTATTTCCTTCGTAGAGACGGACCTCCACAGCAGCACCAGAGGAGAAGGTCACTGTCACATTCTGAGGACAGGGAGCAAATACAAAGACACCTAAAGGAGAATAAGATTTAAATCACCTAATTCAAATCTTGAAGATAACAATTAAGCAACATCAACACTTTTGAATTTCCATTGGTCTAAAAAGAAAAAAAATAGGATGCAGGCAGTGGTAAAGAACTAGAGCAAAAGCAAGGTGCATACCAAGTGGAAAACTGGTGTTTAAAGGCATTTAATAAAGCATTACCAGCAATACTAAGAAAATGACATTTTAACATACACTCTGTATTTAAGCGGTTTTCTTTTTCTCTGATTTTTCCAAATTAAGAAAAGGGGAAATCTACAAAAACACCGGTTTAGAAATCCGTGTATCATTCGTTCTTTCTATTTTCAATTGTCAATCAAAAAACAACAAATCAAAAATTGACTGGTTATTTTGTTTTTTGTTTTTTATCGTTAAACCAAAAACGAAAAAAGGATTGGTTTTTCATATTTCAATTCTAAGCTCAGATCAAGAATACGAAATGGAAAAACGGACAGCAACGCAGAATTTGATTTTAATATTTAATCGGTACAGTTTACATGACCCGGAAGTTTGGTGGAGCGTTAGCTAAAAAAACAATTGGCTTACTCCCACCACGTTCGATCAAACTGCACCAGATAAGGCAGTCGGACCTATCAGCCATGGACAGTTACGTTTTATTTCGAGGATCCAAGCGTGTGACTCTTGAGGAGGACATGACAACGGAGAAAATTTGCAGGATTTTCCAGGTATAACTTTTTTCTTGAAACTTTTCTGTGCACTGTACTTTTAACTAGCAACAACAAACAGCTTCTCGATCAACATAGTGTGTGGTTCTAGCGTCGCCATGGTAGCCACTTCATTACCCCAACTGCTGCGCAAAGAGCTATTTCCGGGTCACGTAAACTGTACCGATTAAATATTAAAAACAAATTCTGCGTTGCTGTCCGTTTTTCCATTTCGTATTCTTGATCTGAGCTTAGAATTGATATATGAAAAACAAATCCTTTTTTCGTTTTTGGTTTAACCATAAAAAACAAATAACAAAATAACCAGTCAATTTTTTATTTTTTGTTTTTTGATTGGCAATTGAAAATAGAAAGAACGAATGATACACGGATTTTTAGAAAATAAGCATTTCATTTTGTAGGACCTCTTAAAACAATAACAGGCAAATACTGCCATCTAGTGGAAAAAGTTAGCAACTACCAAAACCAAAAAAGCCAATTGATCACCCTAGTACTGTACCGTACAATGGAAAGATGATTTTTGACATTCACTTAATGCAGAGTGTGTTTATCTTCACAAGTCAGCAAATGGCAACAATATACTTAACCACTTAATGAGCAATAATTAAAAAATGTAAGTCAACAGTGACAGATGAGACATTTCAGGATGGTAGGGAAAATTTGAATTGTACTGAAAGTTAATTGTCAGTTAGCTTTGCATAGCAGAAAGTATCCCTTTAGCTCAATCTGGCTTGGTGAGGTGTTACAGTCTTTACTTGGATGAGGTAAACTGGTGAGAGGTGATCCAGAACTTTATGACTGAACTAAGAATGGGAAATATAAAACAGCACTGCAAGCCTTCGAAAGGACTTTCTGTTATTAAAAGTAAACACCAAATGAGAAAATTAAAATTAGCCCACCTTGCAGAGTCATCCATAATTGATCCGTAAAAGGCAGGATCTTCTGGTTCCTCAGCACCTGAAGTTGGTCGCCTGCTGCTCGTACCTCAATGACATCCGAGGAGTTCTCCTTCATGGCCATTGATGATAGCTTGGTAGCATTGACTAAGGTGCCTTAAAGGTGAACACAAAAATGACTTTGTCAAAGCAGATTATCTTCTAGAGTTAACACTTTGGTTTGCTTGGTTCAGAGAAATTTTGAATAATTATCTGATTTTCTTTTCAATATATTTTAACCATTTCCTTCATGTTTATTGTTTTCCTTGGGTCACAACGTCCTTAGTTCATTTACTTGTGCTCGCTATTTCTAGATTGGTGCTTCCCAATTTAGTCTAACCTTTTTATATTTTTGTTCTCCTTTTAGTTTATTTGGTTATTGGTACATTTTGAATTATGATTACTGTTTGCCATCTCCCTACCTGAGCCAAGGTACTCATCTATTTATTTGTCCCCTACAGGTTCCCTCTGTTGTCAGGCCTGTTTTTCTTTGTTGCTCTGCCTGGTTTTCTGTTCACGCCCTGTCCCTAGTTTTCCTTTTACCTTTACTTGGCAGTTTTTCTATATGAACTTTTTGACCCACTGCTAATGACTACATAATAGGGTAACAGTCCCTATCTGCAATTTGATCCAGTTTCAATCTCACAAAACATTGATCAATTCTTGTCACCTACAATTCATGAATTTTACTATCATCTTTTTTTTGGAGGAGAACTGTGAAATTTCTCTTTACCTGGGTGCTGACAAAAGAAGACACAATTCATAAAGAATAAATAAACCAAGAAATAAATAACTGCAGGGGCCAAGAGCAATTTATATCCAGACAAAACCTACGTTTAAAGTGATACAGTAGGACCATTTGGATCAAATATGGGTGAAAATAGACTTTAAAAGTGAACTCACCATCCTTCAGTTTTAGTTGTGTTGTTCTAGCCTGAACTCTCAGCTCTCTGTGTCCTGAAAACACCAGGTAATACTCTCCTCTGCCACTGAAGGTGTAGCTGAGGCCGTCAAATGTTATAAAATGCAGATTCCCAAAGACAACACCTGTGAAGCAGCAAGAAAGAAACAAAATGAATGACTTAAACCAACGTTTTGGCACAAATATTAATGTTTCTATATCTAGTTTATAGGGGTGGAACGGTTCACAAAAACCACGGTTCGGTTCGGTTCACGGTTTCGTGGTCACGGTTTTCGGTTCGGTTCGGTATACTGTATGCTGATTGTTACACCGAAATCCCATAAAAATTAATGAAATTAATGAAAAAATCCCAAAAAAATTCATGAATTGTAATTATTTTTAATGATCCGCGGAAACCCTGGATCATTTCCGCATGTTTTGCTGCTTTGAATTTAATCATCTCACGCATGCCCTCTACGATCTCCAAGGAAGTCAGAGCGGAGCGGACGGGAGCCTCAGTGGAGGCTGTAGGCTTTGCTTTGTGCAGGCGGTCTGGAGCGCAGCGGGGCATAGCGCTGACGGAGTACGTGGGATTTCGGGGTTAGCATGACATGTTGGTCGTGTTGCTGTTAGCATAAACAAAACGTGTTGCACAATGCTTGCACACTGTTGTACTTTTATCCACAACTTTCTTTCCGCCGTCATCGTAGGTCACTCTAAATGCAAAGCGATCCCATACAGCAGACCTATAAAGTGCTGCTGGTGCGTCTTCCAACTCCTGTTCTTTCCCACTCGCCATTCCGGCACAATTCTCCACAACAACTGATTTTTTTCTGCTTCACCCAGCTACGCTGCTTTGCTTCTTCTTTGCAGTACCGCCACCTTCTGCTCTGGAGTGTACACGCTTCGCCTATGAGAAAAAGGAGCAACACACGCGAATCGAACCGAGACAGTCGAACCGAACGGTTTGGACGGTTTTCAAAAACCGTTCCATCCCTACTAGTTTATGTTGTATTGACATATATATCATCCACTTCTATGCTCTCAGTTTAACTCAATAGCTTTCAAAAAAATTGGTTTTACCTTCTGCTCTCATGTTCCTTTGTAGAAAGTGTTTGGAGGAAGGTCAGATTGAGGTAAACAGTTTATGAGAAAACAGGTCTCAAAAACCAAAATCAAAATGGTAAGAAGCTAATAAACAACAGAATTACAAATCATTACATTACTGATGCTATTCAGTGACTACCTCGTATAAAAACACATTTTTTAATGTTATTATAACAAAGCCATACCGTACGGGTGACTCATGTCAGAATAATGTTAGAACCTTACTGTACTGTTTGTTTTTAATACACAAACTCGTGCAATATCACAGTAGAATCAACCATTAAACTGTATTTTGACTTTAAAGGGTCTATCTAAAAAATACTTCTACAATTTTGCTTAAAAAGCTGATGTTAGCAGGTGAATAACCTGGAATATCTGCTGAAAGAGCTAGCTGAAATCAAATGCTTTACAGATGAGCCTTTTCTTTGATTTAATAACCGTAGTTACTGTTATATAAAGTTACCTTTTAAAAAAAGCTGTTTTAATAAATTAACAGTTTGTGTTTTGAAAATGGAAGCCGAGAACGGTCGTACTAAACATTTTTTTTCCTTTGCCTTCTCAAGATAACGTCATAACTATCTTGTCATTACAGTTAATAACTGTTTAGTTATTGTACAGTAGAAACAAATTGAACTGTTTTTCAATGAAAATCTTTAATCTGGACTCATTTTGGGGGTTAATGCATCTCTTACCTGTTACAGGTCTTGATCTTGCAAACACCAGGCGCTAAGGCGCCGCAGACATAGGTCTAATTGCTTAAGAATCAGAAGTGGAAGCAAATCATACAAACCAACAATGTTGTCTTACTACCTAAAAGTTAAACAAAGGATTATTTACAGAATAACACATAGGCTGCCATGACTTATACTTATAAACCCTCTCCTGCTGTTGTGGTATTGAAGGACGTAATCAGTTAAACACATACATATCATCACGCTATGATGAGATGATAGGTGAGAAAACTTTTATCTTGTTATCACAAGAAAACGGCTTTCGTTATCTTTAGATAATGAAAAACTCTAGAAAGAAAAGCGTGAAAAAGTATCTGAGTGACACGGCCACTCTCGGCTTCCGTACATACAAACCCCTACATTTATTTTATTTTTTTTAAAGAGAAATGTCTAGTAGCTCTCTCTCAGCCAGATGACCAACTGTGAGTAGCAACAGATGGGGGAGGGGAACAATGCTACAGTATGCCACAAAATAAAATAAATAAAATGACAGTTTTGAGAATTTCCAATTGCAATATTATTTTATGTATAAACACTATGACTTTTTGATTACATTATGGTTCAACCTGCTCTTGGTGGCTGGTATCTGCGACATCCACTGGAGGGTCGATGGTTTAGGTAGATGTGGCAGAGGTCGCTCCACAGGCAGCAGTAACAGAAGCTCGTCACATCATAAAGCCAGTGGGAATACCCAGGAACCCGAGGGGGCTCTCTGTAGGGGGTGAGCCCCAGTCATGAGCACGGTCTGGAGTGCTGCCACCCACAGAGTCGCCCATCAGGACCAGAGCACCGCTGTGGTCATAGCAACACTGCTGTCCCGATCCATGATTTGAGCTGCAATTGAAGAGTAAAACACAAGCAACAAACTTTATATTACTCGAACTTAAATGTTTAAAACGTGCCCCTGTTATTATGCCCCCATACCTGGCCTGAATGGCTCTGACACAATGGACACTACCAGGGTGGTAAGTACACACACTGCCCGTCTCAATGTTACAGCTGTAATCAGTCTGAGGAAAAGAAGGCATCAGAAGCACAGCTGTCAAAATGCTCACTTTTTGAATATTTCACCAAGAGGGGACAAAATGAGTACATCATACAGTAATTTCTGCGCACATGCTCACATGAAATCTCCCCGTGTCTGCTCGAGCCTGAGCCAGTGTGCACGGACAGGGGATGAGCTCATCCAGGAAGTTAGGCAGCTTCTTCTCTAGATTGTCCCACTGCAAACATTTCTTTTGTGCCCAACGGGACGAATCATCTCTGAAGGCCTGCGACAGGTGCCAGGCCAAAACATGACCTTCACTCCACAAGGCCTGCAGGTTCCTGGAAAGAACAAACAAGTAGAAACAACACCTCAAAAAATATGATTTTAACATTTAATTAAAGAGAAACTATTTTAACTTATGTTTGATATTTCTCAGACAAAAATATTTTCATATTAATATAGAGAGAGATTATGAGATAAAATGATAAGTTTGCCTTTTCTTAAATATATGGTAAATGGTGACTTGGTAACTGCCATCTTAAAAATATTAGATCTCATATGAATGTATATAAACATTCACAAATGCTGTTAGCATCACCCCTTTCATTTATGCAATATTCTATAAATCGCACATTGTTCTTATTTGATCTATTTATCCAAGCTATAGACGTATGGTTCACTGAACCTCAGGTTTTATGCACACATGGGTTTTTTATATACAGAAACCAGCATGTACCGTATGTTGCCATCATTGGTAAACACACGTATGAAATAAATCAATAACGTCATATTGTTTGCAAGAGTAAAATCTCACCATAAAAATATTTACATGATAAAAACTTTCAGCCATTTATCCAACCAAAAATATCCCATATTAAAGGTATAGTGGAGGATTTTCCGGAATGTTTGGAAAAACCTCTCCACTTTAAAAAAAATTCAAATATACAACGCCTATTAAACATGTGGGAGAGCATGCATGAGCCAATGTTTCCTCACGTACTCTCTGTTTGAAAGTTGCTGTTGGCATTGCTCATACAGGCTTACTCTCTAAAAGAAGATTTGCAATTTTTCCACAATGTCAGACTCACTACCGGTAAGTGAAAATGAAGATGAGCACGTCGGACGGCCTTACGTAAACATATAACGAGAATAATTGAAAATTAGGAGGACCACTTATTTTGATCATCCATCCAGAAAAAGAACATCCTCCACTATACCTTTAAGTAATAATTATTAACATAATCAGTGTTCAGAAATGTTATTGAAACTCTTAAATGAAATCTCCTAAACTCCATTGAAAACAATGTTTGCAGAAACTAATTAGTAATCTGTGACTCCTTGAGTATAAACACAATTTAACGTATCACAATACGCAGAGGGCAAACTATTGATTTATATAATAATACACTTGAGAGGGCAAAACGCTGCAAAATATTTAGAGCAGGGTTGCCAACAAGCTTTGCAGCTGAAAAAAAATGTAAATGCTGTTTTTCTACTGCAGGTGAAAACTCCATCGGTGTAAAAGGCCTGAAGAAACAGGCCGCCCTAAAAGGATACATTTCAACCCATTTTGAAGCTTTTTCTACATAAAATTTGAAATTGCTGCAGAATTATACCTTTCTCCCTCTGATTTAGAACTTGCAGTGATGCGAATATTCCCCAACTCCCACAAAGAAAACTCTTCTCTGGGTTCAGGGAGGAAGCTGAAGTCACCCGTGTTGGGAATGTTCCGACCCAAAGAGTACAGGTATCTTATCTCTGCCTGCGGTGCGGACGACCCCGCCACGGTCCTGCTGACCTCTCTGTAACCCCACAGCTCCACGTCGATCTTCTCTGATCCAACTAAAGAGCTGTTCCAGGTCATCCTGAGCTGTCCTGCCATGTTTGGAGTGCCATAGTTCTGCCACAGTGTTGAATTCACAAGGGTGACTTTAAATGAAGGATCTCCTTTGCTGGGATACACTGAGAGAACAATAACAGAGAACGTGTTTAGATCAGGTTAATCAATCAACAGAAAGTTTAAAAAGGCAATAAATTACTGTTTATTATTATTATTGCCTTTATAGCTTGGATAATGTGTTAGTATCAAGTTAGCCATGCAAATAAAACTGAATTTAAAAAAATTTAGTTAGGACCCTTGTTGAATTTTTGTATTCTTCCTGCAGTGGCCGATCTAGTTCAAAAATATGTATTGCACCATTATTACCACTGAATCAATGATTTTTTAGATGTATAATAGGAGGGCTGCACAGATTTATCAGCCGGCAGATCGAGCAGCCATAATTTTCTTAAATTTGGGAGATCTGTGATCGACCAACACTTAGATGTGAAACCAATCTTTTCTCCTGAGCTGATCTACCTCTGTAAAGGTCTGAAAACCACCCACGGTCGAAGCCTTAAACTTTATTTACATTTGAGAGCAGTTATTTCAGGAGTTTTTATTGTTTCAGGGGCAATGCTGAGTGTTTTTTAAGTAAGATAAGACTGAAATATCTTGTGTCCTGTTATCTTATAACAACTGACACCGTCATTTATCAAAAGAAATCTGTATCTGTCAAAGTCGGACTTAGCGTATCAATCTTTTTAAAGATCAGTTATCAATGATCGGCCAGAAACCTGTAATCAGTTCATCCCTGTAGTAAAAAAAAAAAAAAAAAAAAAAAAAAAAAAAATGTTCCTCAAAATACCAAGCAGCAAATTTACCCTCTTATTATGACCTACACCTAAAACTCGCAGCTCTAGAGTCATTCACCCTTTAGTTTAGAGGGGTACTGCTTAGTTCCTCCATAAATCACAATATTAAATAATCCTTTAAAAAAAAAACATGTGTCTGAATTATGATCTGGATCATCATCAAAATGTCATGGAATGTTCCTTGGCCTGAGGCGCACCTCCAGCAAAAATATTATGAAAACCTGTTTTTAACTTTTCAATTTATCCCGCAGTAGTACACAGAGAGTCAGACACACACACACAAACTCTCCTAAAAACATGACCTCCTTGGCAGAGGTAATAAATAGAGAAAACAAGGACAGGGGAAGAACTTATTCTGCTGTACAGTCATGATTTCAGAAACCACTTTTAGGAAACCTGGAGGTGAGGATTATTGTGCTGTGCAGAAAAATATCTTTTCAAATGTATTGCTTTGGTACATTGCTATTCTAAGCCAGGAGTGTCCAAAGGAATTGTGACACAATTGATGTTCCTTAATTCTGGCCTCTGCAGGTCCAACATCCTGCACCTTTTAGATATATATCTTCCTCACATCAGCAATAAATGGTTGAAATACCTCCCAGTAATCTCGAGTCCTCATAACGAACTGATTATTTGACTTTGGTGTCTTCAACCAGAGACACATCTAAATGTTTACAGTTCAGCAGAAGTCTGTTAATTGGACATTAATGGTGATGCTGAAGTACTGTAGGAACAAATCTAAAACATGCAGAACACTTGCCTTCAATAATAGGACAACTCTGCTCAGATGATCATCTGCCAGGGTTTATAGCAATTTACTTTTTTTTACTAGTTTTAAATAACTTCTCAGAACTCTGGAGGAAATACAAAACAATATCAGTCTTCTACAGGTGACCAGGTCCAACAAAAGCTTCCTTTCAAGGTTTGAAGGAAATATCTCCTCCAGTAGCTTACTCTGGTTGCATACCACCAAAGTTGTCATGATCTCAGCACTGATGCTGGTTTGAGTCGTCCCATTCTGATTACTACTCATCTGTTCCACCATCACCTATCAGTACATAACCAGCCTTCAGACCAAACATCAGTAGCAGATCATTTTGAGCCATTGGGGAGGTCTATTCCAGCATTCTGATTCCTGACTTTCTGCCTGTTTGCCTGATGTGATCTGTCCCTGTTTCTGAGCCTGCCTGGTCCCTGTCTGACCTGACTGCCTGTCTGCTTTGACTAATCCTGATCTGTTTGCCTACCTGCTCGTTGTCTAACCTAGAACTGTTTCTCGACCTCATCCTGGATTTCCCTCTGGTGCCTCATTGGACTATTGATAACCTGGCTCTGACCCTGGACTTCAATCCTGACAACGGATTCCGGTTTGTCCTCCTGTTCCTCCCGCCTACTATTGTTCTCATGGTTTTGACCCTCTGCCTGACCACGGATCACCATAACTCGGCTGGAGTTATTCTCTGGGACTTCCTGACCAGTGACAGTAACAACAGTGCTACTGTCAACTAACTCAAATCCCACATTGAGGACTAAGAGAGGGTTAGTGACCATTACGTTTGGGATTGGTACAGTACATATTATAAAGCTAACATTGTTTCTAATCTTCTGTCTCCATTTCCAGAGGTCCCTTCCCTAGTCGCTGACACCACCTGCAGCAAATTCATTTCAATAAACTGTGTTAAGCTTTCACAAAGGTTGTCTGGTTTGAATTCTGGGTCCACCTGTTCTGATCATTACAAAATTAAGCTCTAAGAAATTATTGCCACATGTTGGATTCTTCAATATTATTTATATTTTTACTTTATTTGTTAGCAATCAAAGCACATTTAGTGTATTTAAAGCAGCAAAAACATGTGCCTGGAGGTAAAATATTGCACATAGTCTCTATGGGTAAACAAGGAATACCATAGACATACATTATGCCTACTGGAGAAATGATGAAACCAAGCTATTCAGCAACACAGAGAAAAGGGACCTAAAGAAAGAGGAAAAGATTTATCTGCCATGTTCAGTAAATACACACCCTTACTAGTATGGATGCTCGTAATAGCAATGTTATTCTTAAGTGACAGAAAAGTTGATATAAAATGTATGATATTCTCCAATTCACAAAAATAAGCTGCCAGCAAATGGCACACAACAATGATTCTGCTGATCACACCCAGTGTAAAAATGATGTTCAGGGTCAAAAAGGACTAAATACTAATAGGAAATTAGTCTATGTTAGTTTATAACTTACAATTAGATGTTGCTTAATTTGAAAATGAATTTTTTTATTGTAATTTACAAAGTCCTTTGAAGGTACATCATAAACTCAGCTGGACTGGATGAGCACTCATTGTGATTCACTTTGGTTCCTCCAATAAGCCTTACTGCATGGCACATGTCAGTATTTTAGCTTTGCAAGCCAGAGCCAAATGTCTGAGCAAATAGAAACATAATTCCCCCTTTAAGCAGTTAATGTTTATTGGGCTTAATGCCTCACTGGGTTAATGATTGGAAAGAATATATAGATTTAAATGCAGTTTTGTTATTGACAGTTGTTTGAATAGGAAATCCAAGTCAAATAGGTTTTTTCTGCCTTGTTGACTTGAAGGTGGTAGAAAGATTGGAACAGCTGCATGTTCCAGTAACTGTACTCCACAGCTCAACAAAGACCTCCTTTTGGTGGTAGACCTAATCAAATTATGTCTGAAGGTTCTGGTAAGGTCAGCTGTTTCAGTAGCATGCTGATGATTTGACTGGAGCATCTCATACAATATAAAGCATTTTTCTAAAAAGCCTCGAGGAGTCCTGTAACATTTGAGTCAATCTGAGGGATTAACCCTCATACTTTTACGTCTTTTTATAGATAATCTAAATTTGCCATCCTGTCCTCACATTACTGTAGTTAAACTTGTTTTTGTAATAAAGCACAGCAGCATCTCCCCCTGGTGTCCCTCAGCTTTCTGAACATTTCAGACATTTAGTTTCATAAACCATATAATTTAATTCCCTGAAACATCTTTGGTATATTTATTGTGAACATGTGAGCCCAACATGAAACATTTTGTCCAGCAAAGAGAAAAAGTATGCAGTTTTCTAGAAAGCCACACTGCATGCACTTAATTTAAGAAATAAGTCAACATTTCTAAAATTAAGTGTATTTACCCTTAATTTGAGCAGGTAAATGACATAGTTAGCCAATGGGATGAGTATTTTTTCTCTTAAAATAAGATAATTAGCTAATATGCACTGGAAATAAGACAATACAATTCATTCATCCTTCCATTTTCCGTCACGCTTATCCCAAGTGGGGTCATGAGGGGTGCTGGTGCCTATCTCCAGCTGTGTACGGGCGAGAAGCGGGGTACACCCTGGACAGGTCGCCAGTCCATCACAGGGCAACACGCAGACAAACAACCATTCAGGCACACACTCACACCTAAGGAGAATTTAGAGAAGTTAACCTTACAGTCATGGTTTTGGACTATGGGAGGAAGCCGGAGTACCCGGAGAGAACCCACACATGCACAGGGAGAACATGCAAACTTCATGCAGAAAGACACCGGGTCAGGAATCAAACCTGGAACCTTCTTGCTGCAAGGCAGCCACGATGCCCACTGCAACACTGAACAGCCTGACAATACAATAATTTTTTATTTTAAGTGTAAAATATCTTGTTCCATTTGCAAAATGTCTCACTTACCTTCTCAATTCAAGAAAAATGCACCTATTTTAGGGAAAAATTTACTTTCTGTATTTTTATGTTAGTTTTTTTGCACTGCACGTGTGCTCGAGCGTTTGTCCCCATATGGTAACTACGCTTTTAACGGATGCAAGATCATGTTTACAGTTATATATATATTCTATAAATTGCTGTTTAATTTGAAGCTTTAGGAAGCTTGTGAAAAAAACAGTGATTTGTTTTTAAAAGATTGATTTTATAGACATAAATGTTGTAGAGGGTAGGGAGTAGAGCAGCTGGAGGCAGAGAGGCTCCAATTGAGATTTTGTTGTTTCTTGTGACATTTAAGGAACCAGACAGGTACAAGGAACAAATCTTTGAATAGGAAACATAAAATATAATTTGTGTAATATCTCATAAAAGTTTTGCAAGTTCAAAGTTACTTTTTGCTGTGGCAATTTGTAAAAATACTTGCTCAAAAAAAGCACTGATTAATAATCTGATATAATCTAAGAAGAGGTAAAAACAAGTTAAATAGAAGAGAGTTTTTTTTTAAGTCTTCTTACCGGACAGATACTCTCCTGATCTGTCAAAATTTGTACCATCTGTCGAGACATCAATGGAGATCCAACCCGTCTCAAGCAGCAGAGGGGAAATACAGTAGGGTCGGCCCTCTTCATCAATAACCCCCCGCTGTTCAATGTCACCTTTGAACCTGAAACAAATTCAAAGAAACGTGGATTTCTTTGACCTTTCGACTTGTTTTGCTGCTCAGCTCATTTTAGTTTAATCTGTTTGTACTTAGTTCACAGAGAACATTTAAATTCTCTGTAAAATATACGTATGAGCAAATCATTTAAGAAAACTGGGTGTATTAAATAAATCTAGGTTTAAAATTCAAATCTACAACAAGTAAAATATAGCATTTTCTACAACATTGTTCTAATTTAGGGGTGTCAAACTGGTTCCAGAAAGGGCCGTGTGGCTGCAGGTTTTCTTTCCAACCAAACGACAGCACACCAGACTCCAGTCATCTAATCTAGTGAGTCCGATCTGAACATGATGAATTGATGATATTAATGGAGTCTGGTGTGCTTTTGTTTAGTTGGAAAGAAAACCAGTAGCCACAAGGACCTTTCTGGAGCCAGTTTGAGACCCTGTTCTAATTTATTACTGTTTTAATGTGATTCAGATGAGTGTTTTAAAAATCTGAATTGCATAAATTTCAGCTTGAACATTGACTTAAGTCAGAAATCCCGAATTGTTTCTGTTTAATTTTAGGCTGTGTTGAATATTCTTTAAAAAGATTGATTACTCAGTAACATGTCATGGGATAATTAGTAACTCAAATAGTTATAACAATGATTTATGATATGTATAGAAAGCCAAACCTGCAGAGAAGATGCCCATCAGAGGGAAGAGTCAGACCAAGGATCCTGAGAGCTCTTCCACCCAGCATGGAGCTGGAGTAGGGGGACACATTGAAGCAGGACTGGTTGTAGTCTGAGCAGCAGTTTTTCAAAGACAAACAGGTTTCCTGGCAGGAGCATTCTACCAATGTACTTCCACACCTCCTCCTGCATGTTAGACCTAAAACGTGCAAATCATTACTCAGAATTCGTTTAGGACTTGAACAACAGATTTTAAAATCTCTCGTACACATTTATGTTATTTGCACAGTTACATATTTGGAGAACATACCTGAGGTTTTAGATGAGAAGAAAATGAGAATTATCCAGAGAAAAATGAACTCTCTCCTATTTTTTCCCATGTTTTGGTTGGAGAACACCAAGTAAACACTCATGGCTGAGTGAGTCTACCCTTGACTGCGACTTATGCAGAGATGAAAAGCGTACCAAAGGTCATTTAACCCAGATCACATGAGTCCAAGTCATGGGTTTCTTGTAATGATTTAACAAATGACTATTTTAAACAGGATATGTTCTCTTCTGCTTTCCAAACACATGACACACATTCTTTACATTTCCAAGGATGTGCATGCATGCGGTTGAAGTCACATTGTTACTTTAGTTCAGATCCATAAGTATTATAATCTCAACTGAAGCATTGTTTCACATCATAGCCATGCATAATTATGACCAATTTAGCTCTCAAGTTAGGTGGTTTGATTGCATCTTATTGCTGCACTGCACTAATGGTATTTAAATGTGAGAAATATTTGTGACAGTTTGCAACAGCTAAGCCTTTCTGTGGGCTTTCATCATATTTGAGGACACTGATTTACAGATGGTTCTGCTCTAAAGGATCCTTATATTCAAAGAGGATATACGGCTGGATTGCAACTTTCTTTCTGCACCAAACTAGTTCAATGAGGTTAGTTTTTGGTTATGATACTGTGGCATCTGCTTCAGCATCAACTCTGATACGTTTCCACAAATGCATATCGAAAGACTTGAATAACAGAAATGCTGTCTTAATTTCCAGAATTCGGTTTTGAAAACTGGTTGCATTATTAGTGATGAAGTCTCGGTTTACACATAAGAAATGTTTGGATTCATTGCTGATTTCTAAGTCCTTCTTTTTTTTTTTTAGAACTTTTTTTTTTTTAAACTTTTCACAACAAAAGAACATTCCCTGAGCCAAGAGTAATTAAATCAATAACAGAAATACTGATGCCACATATACAATATTTCAACATAAATGCAGCACGATAAACCAGGTCACCTGAGACTTTGAATACCTTACAAGAGAGAACTGCACATATACATACACACAAACCCACACCCCTCCCCCTCCCCTCCAGGGTGCTTACCCACAGGCCAAAAATACAACATACAGTAAACAAACAGCAAAAAATTATATATATAATATACCCACCTACGTGTATAAATACACACGTATTCAACTATATACCTTAGTAATACCGATGACGGAGCAGATTGCGATCCATTAGAATCACTAGAGCCCAAAATCACACACCCAAATATAATTTCACCAAATGCCATCTTTGATTGAACTTGTCCACTTTGAGTTGTAAACATGCGGTCATTTTTTCCATCATAAACACTTGTTTTACCCGATTCTTCCACTCCCCTATAGATGGTGACAAAACTTGTCTCCAGTTAGCCGTTATAGTTTTTTTAGCTACTAATAGTAAAATGTGCAAAATATACTTTTGGTCTTCATTAAAACAGTCTGGTATTATATTCAGTAAATAAAACAAAGCATTTGAAGGTATTTCTCTGTTTATAATTGTCTCTATTTCATCCCTAATCCCCTTCCAGTACTGACTGATAACCGGACAGTCCCACAGAATGTGCGTATGGTCACCAATCTTCCCACACTGTCTCCAACATAGGGCCGCTGAAGGATTTTTGACAGATCTAGAAATTAAAAATGGGGTGCGAAAAAATCTTATTAAAATTTTCCAACTGAATTCTCTCCACATTTGGCTGTTAGTTCCTTTGTGACTGCCTTCGCACAATTTGTCCCATTGTTCGTCCTCTATTATAGAATTGGATTCTAATTCCCAGTTTTCTTTTACATTATAGGTATTATGATAATTATTAGATGAGAGAATTTTATACAAATGTGAGACATGTTTCCGGGTTGGAAAGGTCTTTTCTCCAATAGTAATAAAATATTGTTCTATATCATTTGGGTTTCTATTAAGTCTATTACGTTCCTTGTGACTAATAATGTAGTGCCTAATTTGCAGATATCTATATAAATCATTTGCAGGGAGATCAAACTGTTCCTGAAGTTGTGCGAAGGACTTTAAGTCAGCCCCATAGAATAATTGGTTTAATATTTTAAGACCTTTAGCTGCCCATCTCTTAAAGCCTTGGTCCCATGTGGAAGGCGGAAAGTCTATATTACCCACAATAGGCATAGCTCTGGAGACTGACCCTGTATCTCTAAGCATCTTTTTAACCTCTGTCCATATTTTTAAAGTGTGTTTGGTCCATTCATTTCCAATTTTCATTTTATCAACAGTTCTGATATCTAGGAAGGGAAGAGTAGATAATTGTATACCTTTTGTTTCACCCCGTTCTATTTGAAGCCATTTTGCTTCCTCATCCCCTCCAATCCAAGTCACAATGGCTGATAACTGCGCTGCCCAATAATACCATTTTAAATTGGGTAGAGCTAAACCATCCCTGTTTTTGGGTAGGTGAAGTGTTTTAAGTCTAATTCTTGGTCTTTTTTGTTGCCAAATAAATTGAGATATTAATTTGCTGAGTATGTTAAATGTTGAGACTGGGACTCTTACTGGCAAAGATTGGAACAAGAACAGAAGACGAGGAAGCAGGTTCATTCTAACAGTTTCCACTCTGTCATATAGGGACAAAGGTAGGACCTCCCATCTGGACAGGTCAATTTTGATTTTCTTTATCAATTTGTTATAATTAGCATCGAACAGTTGTGAAGGTTTGGGTGTAAGAATTATCCCTAAATACCTGAAACCCTTTTCTGACCAATGAAAAATATCACTAAGTTGGCTTGGCCGTTGTCCCGACGTCATTAATGCTTCTGATTTACTTTGGTTAATTTTGTATCCAGATATGTCACCATATTCCTTTAAGCAAGGGCGTAGGTTTGATTTGAACTTTGGTAGGGACACTATTGGTCTGGTGTCATTGGTGCTATGCAATATGCCCTTTTTTATGCTCGATGTGAGGATCCGTACTGATAAGGGGAATTAATTGTTAAAAGAGAAAAGCAACATTTTGCTCCATTAATAAAAATGTTATAAGCTCTACACTCATTAGATGCTGTTTATCAATGTTTGAAGTATCACCAGTTCTGATGAATGTGGAATAAGGACTGTTTTCCACTTTGAAAACGGTTTGATTTGAACGACTAAGAGAGAAGGTAAATACAGTATTTTCTATTGAAGATATAGAATTGTGCAGAGTTAAACCCCACTCTTATATTTGTACCTACTATTCTCTCTCTGTATCAAGCAAAATAATACATTCATTAAAATATTAACTTCACTATAAAAGTTTAACATCTGGGCTGTAGTTACTGTGTGTAGCCAATTTCATGTATTTCATCTGGGGCTGAAAAAAATGAATCATATTAATTGATTATTTCAATAATCGTCAACTAATTTAGTGAGTCATTCATCATTAACTGGAGTATAGAGACTTTAAAACATACAGTAATATAAATGTAAAATGTGCCTTTCCCCACAGAGCAACCCACTTAGATAAAAGTCTCAAGAACCAGGGATATTAGATTTTTTATTTTTTATTTTTTTTACTCAAAGCTGAATCCCTTCCTAAAAGCAGCTCATCTGAGGTTCTTCTGTTATGATGGTTTAGCTCACAATCTGAACTGGGAATCGGATGCAGAACAGGTCTTTGTTGTCTTTATCTCTCAGCTCCCACTCCACAACACATTTGATAGAAGGATACTCGCTCTTTACTGGTAATGAAGCAAAATTGTAAAAATAAAAGCAAAAAAATGAAAACAGTAATATCAACTAAATATCGGTAAAAAGGAAACCCTCACATTTTCTTTTTTAGTTGGCTGTGGCTAAGAATCAGAAATGTTGATGCTTACAGCCTTTATTTGCCCATCTTTCCAGCAGTCTTCAGAACTCCTGGCTGACTCAGAATATTTCGTTTTATAAAAGAAAAAAAAAGGTTTTTGTTTTTTAGTGTACATGATATTCATTTTTTTATTGGGACTATTTTTTGTAGCCTAATATTAATTGTTGTAACCGCTGCATTCTAGTGTGAATACATTTTCAATGTTGTGCTCCAAGCACAAGCGGACTAGAAAACAGCCAATCAGAGAGAGAGAAGGCGGAACTTAACGCAGAACAACCAATGAGAGTTGAGTTAAACAGCGCAGCACAGTTTCATCCACTGCTACATGAAAGGGACAGGAGAGACCAGGCAGAGGAGCTGCGAGAGGAAAAGAAGCCACTGCTGCAACAACTACTGCTGGAAATTATAAACATGTTGCTCACATCCAATTATTGGTCGGGAAAATTAGGACGGTTCAAAATTTTGGTAGGGGCATGTCCCTATGGTCCCTATGCAAACCTACGCCCATGCCTTTAAGCAATGCATGAGTCTAGGGACTGAAGTAAGAGGGTGTCTTATAAATAATAAAATATCATCAGCGAAGAGGGCAATTTTATGAATTGCCCCCTCTCCATCCCTGATTCCTTGTATGTGATCGTCTCAACGTATGGCCTCTGCCAAAGGTTCGATACTCAGGGTGAACAAAATAGGGGACAAGGAATCGCCCTGCCGCACCCCTCGCTCCACATTGAAAAATTCTGAACAACACCCATTAACTCTAACCCTGGATTTAGAATTTTATAAAATAACATAACCCAACTAACGAATGTTTCACCAAAGCCCATCTCAATTAGTGTATGTTTAAGAAATTGCCAATCAACACGGTCGAACGCTTTTTCGGCGTCTAAACTAAGAAGCATGGATGGTTGGGGATCTTTTGTCATCAATGATTGTAAATTTAGAGCTCTTCTTATGTTATTAGGTCCCTGTCGACCCAGGATAAACCCAGTTTGATCTGGATTAATTAGTTTTTTTATATACTTTTGGATTCGAGTGGATATAATTGATGTCAGTATTTTATAGTCCACGCAAAGAAGGCTAATCGGAAGGTAACTTGCACATTGCAGTGGATCTTTTCCCTCCTTGTGTAGAACCGTGATGATCGCTTCAGACCAGGACTCCGGGGGGTTTTTCTAAGTCTTTCTGATTATTAATAATTTATCAGGACATTTCCTAAATGCTAAACATTTTAATAAAACACAAGTACTCTGCTCTAACCACCAGGTTAATTTATTTTCAACAATTAAAGTACAGAATTGAACCAAAAGACAAATAATTACTTTTATATGGATAATCTCACAGGAATGAAAGGAAACAAGGTGGCACATAAATAAACTTGTAGAAATGTAGTACATCCAAATTCAATTAAACACTTCATTTCAGTATAAGGTATTGATTATAACTGATGTTTACCATACAACAATAAAAGAGACATTCTTCTTGCAAATCCATTATAATATATCCAGCTTATTTAGGTGTGAAACACATTCATAAATGGGGTGAGAGGAAATGATACAGCAGATGAGCTTGCTTAAAAGGATTTAAGGAAAGAAATAATGGTACAGATTAATATAGGGAAAGATGCTGGTAAATTAGTAATATACAGAAATCTGGCCAAAAAAAGAGATTAAGATGAGAAAGTAATAAAACTATAGAATTAAAAAAATCTGTAATGCGAAATTATAGAGAACGAAACAAAAGGGGAGAATTTATTTGAGAAAAGATTAAGGGTAGCTTCTTAAATGAGTTTTGTTTGTGCTAGGGAATAATTATACATGTGAGGGTTAATAATTATTATAATGTGGATCATGTTTGGATGAAGTGCGATAAATATGCAGCAGATGAGGAAAATAATAAAGGAAATAGTGAGAGAATATAGTTTAAAATTGATATTAGGAACATAAGGAGATAGGGGGTAAATTAGAACTAATAATACTTCATTATTTTCGTTTACATTTAATACTAAATACATTCTAGTAACATTGCATGTATAGCTACACACTCTTGAACAGTAGGTGGCGGTATGCACCTTTAAGTTCTTCTAATGACTAATAAAGAAAAGAAGAAGAAGACGTTCTTCTGGCAGGAACCTCTGTTTACAAATGTCGAAAAGCCAATATTGCACTTTAGTTGTTTTCAATAATAAAAGGCGTTCTCTGTTAAGTCTAGTTTAGCCTGCGTGTCAGATTACAGCTTAACGTTCAGAATGTCGGGATATTGGAGGAAGCATTAAGTTAGCATGCTAACCAGCTAGCATATGTAGCAACATCACTGTTAGCTCATTGAAAGAAGAGCTGACAGGGAAATGTATCTTCTCTACACGGTACTTGCCTCTTTAAGTTTCTTTTTCATTTTAAAATGGATGAAAAGAAGGCGATATTTCACGGAGCTGAAGAGACTTGATGGTAAAACGGTTCTCATAACAGGTAAATGTGACATTTGCTGGTCATCTCTGCTGTATTTTTTTTTTTTTTTTCTGCGATGAAGAATCGTTTCCACACACTGTTTACCACTGCTTGCTAATTTGTATTAATAAAGGAATCTATTTTATGTTAGCTTGAATCTGTCAGTCTATAAAAACTGGAAATATTTGCTAAAGCTTATCTGTTTTTTGCAGGAGGTAACTCTGGCATTGGGAAGGAAACAGCCGTTGCCCTGGCAACCAGAGGAGCGCGTGTCATCATCGCTTGCAGAGACCCTGAAAAAGCTGAAAAGGCCATAAGAGAGATCAAACTGAGGAGCCGCTCTTTCAATGTCTGTCACATGGAGCTGGATCTGGCCAATCTTTGCTCTGTCAGGGAATTTTGCAAGAAGTTTCTGCAGAAGGAGAAGAATCTTCACATATTGATAAATAATGCAGGTAAGTAGCTTAACCACAGTAAGATGGATCAGTACTAACATTAGGACTGCAACTCATGATTATTTTGCAAAAGGATTAATCTGTCGATTATTTTTTTGATTAAGCAATTAATAATCGGATAGCCAAAGGTTCCTTAAAGAAGACTTTTTGTTCTTTAAGTTCTGGATAGAGCATATTCTCAGAAGAAAACATATTTATTATATCCTAAATGCAGAATGTATATATATATATATATATATATATATATATATATATATATATATATATATATATATATATATATATATATATATATTTACAATTTTGCTATGATTACTGCTTTAAGTAGGTCAACTAAAGTCTCTATACTCCGGTTAATGATTAGCCTGCGTGTCAGATTACAGCTATACTAAGTTAGTTGAACATTGTTTTAGTAATTGATTAATCGCGATTAATCCGATTAAATGTTTCAGCCCTAACTAACATAGAAACAAGAATAAAAGTGTTTTCACTATTAACACAGATATATTCAGCAAATGAGGAATTAGTTGCCTGACCAGGATAGGTAGGATAAGGCTTTTGTGTGCTACAGACATCAAACTGAAACTAGGAACAGTCAGTTCTATCCTGGTAGAGAAGAGGGAACATGTTACCCTCAAGTAATTAACTACGACCCAGTAATCATCATCAGATTAATGTTGTGATTTTTTTTGTCATGCTATGCACATTTTTTTCTTTTTCTATATTCCTGTATTGGGTCTTCCTCAGGCATGCCTGGCATCCTTGACTGGACTGACGACGGTTTCAGCACGTGTTTTGGCGTAAACCACTTGGGCCACTTCCTCTTAACCAACCTGCTTCTGCCTCGGCTGAAGGAATGTGCCCCCAGCCGGGTCATAACGCTCACTTGCTCCAGCTACAAATACCAGAAGCTGGACTTTCAGGACCTCAACTACAACCTGCTGCCCTTCTTCACTTACTGCCGCAGCAAGCTGGCTAACATCTACTTCAGTCAGGAGCTAGGTCGCATCGTCGAGGGAAAAGGAGTCACTTCCTATGCTGTGAACCCTGGTAAGAGCTTTGGATTCTATTTCTGTTTAAATATAACATTAGACAATTAGAGCTAATGCTAATAACTACTGCATACATAAAAAAAAAAAAAATTAGCCAGTTTGCAGGAAAGCACCTAATATTTATGCATCAAAATGTTCTTACAACAAATTCAAAGCAAATATATTAGGTTTATTAAGGCTTGCAATGTAACAATTCCAGTATGACAAATTATTAATTATTCACTGGAAAACAGGCAATTTTTCTTTCTTTTGAAAACTGCATTCCACAGCTTAAAAATAGATAATTTTATCTACTAAATGTCAGCACCTGTCTCCTCTTTAGACGCACTGTAAAAAACCAAGATGCCTGCCATTCTGTCCAGTTTCCCTATTTATTTTTAATCTACAAATTAACAAAAAATGAAATAAAATAAAAGCTGGAACTGAATATAGATTTCATATTATCAAAAGTTTCATATTCAACTTTCTGAATCTGCAGGGCCTTTTATTTGTAAGGATTTAAATCATTATGTTTAACCTTATTATTGTCTTGATGGTTTTGGAATGTTGGTTTCATTGGTGTGGGATGCAAAAAATATAAAAAATTTTAAACATTATATAAATAAGATAACTGGGTCTGATGTGAAACTAATTATGTAGTTGATCGTTTGAAAATCTACCAGCCTTATTGTTTGCTGTAACTTTGAACTTTAACATTGATATTCTTACAACTAAGCTGGAAGTTTGATGAAAAGCTGCTACTGAACAGGCAGGGAATTTAGGGTATAGTTGGTTTTAATTTTGATGGGAGGATACTTTCTTCATACATTGAGTAAAAATAAAAAAAACTCATCAACTTTTTTACAGATATTTTACATGAAATAAGCAACAAAGGTTGTTTAAAAATGGTTGTTGTTGCTCAAATTGTTCTGTCAGCCTTATAAACAACCAAAATTTTCTCCTCCTGTTTTTTCTTTCATCCCACGTTGCTCCAGGTTTTGTCCAGAGCGGCTGGACGTGCCACTACTCCTTCCTGTTCCGGATGTTGATGCAGGTAATCATGTGGATGTTTTCCGTGCCGTGTGAGATCGGAGCACAGACCGTCATCTACTGCGCCGTGTCGGATGAAGCTGCCAAGCACAGTGGGGGTTACTTCGTCGACTGCCAGCCCGCCACCCTGCGTCCTTTCGCAAGAGATGCCGGTGTGGCAAAAAAACTGTGGGAGGCCAGTGAGAGACTGGTGAAACTGGCATAATGGGAGAGCGACTAGTCATTGACATTGAATTATTTATTAAGCTATTACTGTGCTGTATTATTTGCTTTCATCTGAGTCAGTTATATATATATATATATATATATATATATATATATATATATATATATATATATATATATATATATATATATATATATATATATAAACTATATAAAATGCCTTGAAAAAGTATTTATACCTGTTTCATATTTGTCTTTTTGCAAACATAATTTTTTTTTTTTGATTTAGATTTTTAGTAGCAGAGACAGAAAGGGTTGCATGATAGTAAAGTTGAATGACAGTGATGTCCCTGACCTGTCTGTTGTGTTCCTCAGTCTTTATGATGTATGAGGTGTTGGTCTGAAAGAAACAGACATTATTAGACAATATTATTAAAAAAAATACCAACTGTGTATCTTTTTCTTTCCACTGAACAGTTTTGCCCTAATCAATTAACTTCTCACATAGAATTGTGTTAGTATGTCTAAAGATTTTTGTTTTAGCACAAAGAAAAGAACATTTAAGTTAAATCGTTTTGCAAGGCACTGTGTGCTGTAATTCACCACTAAAATGTAAACATGTTATGACTGTAAGTAGAATGAGTGAGTCTAAAGCCTAAATGTCTGCTTGCTTTAAATTGGAATCTGTAGAGATTTATTTATTAAGAATCCAGTGAATGTTTGTGATTTGAAAGTGGTCGTCATATAGGCAAGAAATAGTCCCTTTAAGTTATAACATAGACTGAAAGTAGAGAAGCTGATTTTCTTTTTTTTTTTATATACTCAACCCATAAGGTTAATTTTGGACAGCTGAGGACATGGATCAGACTGAAAGGACCAGTGGACAGTGTGCTTGATACCTGAAATAAATAAATAAAGAGATGCAGCTTTTTTCATTCAAATATCAATAAGTTTCTTGTTTATTAAGTATTTGTAATTATTTGTAGTTACACATAACTGGAAAATTAGATGATGTCAGGGCTGAGAGGGAGTTTTAATAATGGCATGCTTCAGGATTTATTTAAAGCAACACTTCCTACATCACAATAAATCCAAACATCTCAGATAATTCATCAAGAGAGCTGTCTATAACCCAGCAGCTTGAAGGTACCCTGTTCATCTCATCATCAACGTGATGATGTTGATCCACCACACCCTTCAGGAAGTCTGTGTACAGGAGATGAACATGCTTTGCTATCAGCTGTTTATTAACCCAGGAACAACAGAGAAAGATTGATAGTGACACTGAGGCATTGCTTCTTATAAGAGAAGTCATCATAGTGTTTTACTTTCAGAGTTCACTGGTCACATGTGAGCTGCTGTGTTTGGTTGGAAATCAGACCATGAGAAGACCATCCTTTAGCATCATAGAAAAGCTGGAGAACATTTTAAATATTGAAGAGCTCCTCCCTTGTTCCAGTACAACAAAATAACTTAGAACCTCTAAAAGCAAACAACCAGCTATCATGCCTGGATCAAAGATTACCTTAGAAACAGACCACAGTTGGTTAGATTGAAGGTCCACCTGTCTAATCGGGTAGTTAGAAATCTCACCATTAATCAGTACCATGCTTATACAGGTCTGTATGGAGAGTATCATCTCTTCTGTCATCATCTGTTGGGGTAACAGCATTAAAGTAAATTAATCAACAAAGCTGAACAAGCTGATGAAGAAAAGATTCTCTGTTCAGGGATCTCTTCTAGAATCTCTGGAGATTATTTAAGATTAAGGATAACTCTGAGTGACCCTGCAAGACGGACCGCTACAGAAGATCCAACCAGTCTACAGGCATGAATATTTACAAGAACTCTTTGAAAAAACTCTATAAAAAAAACAACATTTCAATTCAATTCAGTTTATTTTTATAGCGCCAATTCACAACACAAGTCATCTCAAGGCCCTTTACAGTTCAACCAGATCATACAGTCAAATTGATTCAAAGTTTTCATTTCATTAACCCTGTAGGTAAAGTATAAAGAATGTATTTTTGAAATAAGCAGAATTTAAATTTTAATGTCATGCAGTCCTATTTGTCACGATACAAACCACAGCACCCTGTCTATTGAATAAATCTCCAAGTTTAAAGAACAATTGCAAAAAAAAAAAAAGAAATGTAGAAAAGAAGAGATACAGACAATCAACAAAAGTACATAATACATACCAACGGCATGATTCGACTTCTTTCAGGGATCATATTAGAGTATGTTATATTATGTTATTTTAGAATAATGATGATATTTGTGTTTATTTTGCTCTTTCAGGAGGGTTGCTTTTTATCACCGAACCTCGATGTAAATAAGAAAAACAGCAGATCAGAGGTCATATTTATCATCAAACCCACCAAAGATAGCACATGGCAAGCAATATATACTATTATAAATCTCTAGTACAAAACAACACTCAGGTCAGTTACAACAGTGAAGCAAATCTTTAATAACTTTCACAGCACTACATTCCTAGTATTATTGGTTATCTAAACATAGTGAAAAGTGCAAATAAACTGCAGATATTCACCAACTATTTAATATATATCAAATAATTAAATATGACATTATAAGCAGTATTTTCTGTATTGTGCTCATTAGAAGTTAAACATAATAACTTTATAAGGTCTACAATTACAGATTTGTTAGATAGTGTGATATGTGATACAGTTTGAGAGAAGATTTAGTCTTTTTAACTTCAATATAAGCCGGTATGTTTTCACAGTGAGTATTGGTTCTAAATACATAGTGAACAATTAAGTCAGTTAACACAGTTTTATCTATTAATAAAATCATGCTTGCTTGGCACCAATAACATGACCAATAGCAGAAATAAGCAGTTTTGTTTTACTGTGTTCTGATCGAAATTTTCCAGCAGATCAGAGCAGAGATTTGGGTTGGCCAGGGAAAATCTCATTGGTGCATTAATCTTTAAGAAGTACAGTTTTTTTTTTTTTCTGCAGTAGTCTTTTTAGAGAATCTAATCAACAAAACAACCAAAAATCTTACAACAAAGCAAAAAAGATGAGAAAAACATAGTTGATCCCCTAATGATTGTCTCTGTCTGCTTATATAGAAACAGAAGGATACATTAAAAGATGAAACAAAAATGTATATCCAATAAAACAGCAATGTAAAACAATTACAAATCAATCAACTCCCCACACTTCTGCCTCTCCTCCAGCTCTATTATATCAACTAGACCTGGAGAAATCTCAGGGAATAGAAAAGTACCAATGCCAGTATTAAGTGGAAATGTTATGCTTTAGGTCAACTTTAACATGCTGAGTGGCCAAAAATTATTGTTAAATCTCAGCTGAGAACACTAATAATAAATGTAGCCATCCATTTGCATTGCTTGGGTCCAGATCAGCAAGACAATAACTAAATATGTACCTGGAAGGAAACAGATGATATACCACAGAAAAAGCCCTTTAAGTCACAGGAGATACCTTAACAGTGACAAACAGAACATTTGCAAAGAAAGCAGAACATTTTGGTTCCTAGCTGCAGCTAAAAAACTAAAAAATATTTAGCGATTGTATGAGGAGGACTGCCTAAATCCTTTCTAGGGTGTTTTTATTTCCTACTTTCTGCTCCAAAAAAGGTTAAAAAACAAACCACTGGCTTTGTTTCCAAGTTTGAAGATGTTTCGCTTTCCCATCCAGGAAGCTCTTTCAATTCAAAATTTTCTTTCTATGACACAAGAAGTTCGTATTCATGGATTATGAGGACTGTCTCAATGATATAATGTTTTAAACATTTCAGATTTTAATTAGATTAGTATTCCAAATATACACAAAGATATAAACCCAGATTCCAGCAGTTATTCTATTGGAAGGACATTTAGTTATGGTGCTGTTAATAAGCATAAATCAGTTTAATGTTACATTTGAGACTTGCATATGTTGATCCCTACAATGTTAGAATCAGCAGCCACGCCGACACTGATGTAAGGTAGGAGTTTCTCAGTGAAAGCGTCTCTGTAAATATAGATAGGGGTTGAGTCTTCCGGGTCATAGAAGGACACCTCCCCCTTATCATAGTTCAGCTGGACTCTGATACTCCTGAGGCTCTTCCTCACTCTGATGGACTTACCAATAACATCAGTGTATTTTCCATTTTCATAACACAAACACCAGATTCCATTTTCAGGTGTAACATCTCTCTCTCCGCTCCTGTCGACCGATTCTTTAACCAAACCCACATACCAGTCAGGATGGTCTCCCACCTCCACCTCCCAGCTGTGTTTCCCTGAGCTGAAACCTTCAGAACCAAAAACCTCAATATATTTAGTGTTTCTTTCGGGATTATCAGGAAGCTGCTGCTTTATGTCTTTATTTCTCACACAGGTCAGATCATCAGACAGATGGAGCCATCCGTTAGCAGTGTTTGGGTCCAGAATGACAGGATAGAACTGGACCTTCTCCTTCATCTTCTCCCAGACTCTGAAGGACAGGTTGCCCAGATGTTTGGCCACATCTATCAGAGCTCCTGAGAGCAGCTGTGGATCTGACAGTGAGCTCTGGGCTCTGGCTCTGCTCTGAGTGGCTTTATAGCTGCTGAGGAACGACAGGTTGTTTTTCTGCAGGTCTTCTTAAACAGCAGAGATACTGTCTGACAGAGAGGAGATCTGCTCCTGAATCCTCTTCATCTCTATGCTGATAGTCTTCCTCTTCTGCTCCTCTTCCTCCCTCAGAGCTGCCAGTCTAGACTCCTCTTCCTCTTTCAGGAACTGGTGGAGCTTGTTGAACTCTGCTCTGATCTGTCTCTCTGTGGAAAACAGCTGCTCCTTGGAGTGTTGAAGCATATCATCATATGTTTTCTCCACTTGCTTGTATTTGTTGTTCTTCTCCTGTAGAGACTTTAAGTCAGATTTCAGCTTCTCCTTCAGTTCACTGACTGCTTGTTCTAGAGGAACCACTTTGTGACTCTGGTGGAGAGAAAACTCACAGACAGGACACACAGCTCTCTTCTCATTTTTACAAAACCACTGAGGAACCATGAAGTGTTTCTCACCACCTTCTTCACTTCTTTCCTTTCTTTTTGCATCTCATTTGAAGCTTCATTCTGCCTCTCTGCAAATGAATCAGCCAGGTCTTTCAGGGAGAAGTTGATAGACAGGTCTTCCTTTGATCTTCTTTTACAGATGGGACAGTTCCTGTTTTTAGTTTGTTCCCAGAATTCCTTCAGGCAGCTTGAACAGAAGCGGTGGTTGCAGCTCAGAGACACAGGATCTCTGAAAGTCTCTGAACACACATGGCAACTCAGGAAAGTTGCAATAAGAGCAATTTTGTCCTCCATTTTAGCAGATTTCCTATTCTTCTTATCACTAAAAACAGTATGGTGACAGTTTGGTGACTTACAGTTCTCCTTTTGTGTGCCTTAGCTCTTCAGAGATTTCACTCGGATGTTGTCACCTTGATCTG